GCCGCGAGCCCCGGAGCTTTTTCCCAGGGGACATGGGGCCGCGCCCTCTCCCGCCGCCGCGCCCACCCTGCGACCAGCCCTGCCCCCCGCCAGCCGGGGTCTGAAGGAGTCGGGAGCCATGAGCGCCAACCCACAGTGGGACATCAGCAGGGCGCTGGGGGTGGCCAGGCTCTTCCACCTGGTGTGTGGAGTCCGGGATGCATCTGTGACCCCGTACCTGACTCTCTACCTGAGGCAGCTGGGCTTGGCCGCTCCCTGGGTGGGCATTCTAATGGGCACCAAGCACCTGATCGCGGCCTTCTGGGCTCCGTTCTGTGCCTTCCTGGCCAAGAGCTACCAGAAGCGGAGAGTGCTGCTCATAGGCTCGCTGCTTGGCTCGGTGGGAGCCAGCCTGCTGATGGTCCTGGTCCCCCCGCTGGACAAAGACTTGGCATACCGCTCTTGCAACCGGAGCAGCAACCTGAGCTCGGTCCCGCTAAGCGTGAACCTCACCTCAGCCCCAGGGCCTGCCTCCAACCATCCGGCAGGGGCAGGGGCGCTCAGCCTCCCAGCAGGAAGGAGCTCTGGAGTCACCATAGCCTATGACTTCCCAAATGGACCTGGTGAAAGTGGCCCAGAAACTTTCCATGCCCTGAGTGGCTACCTAGCTCCCTCTGTTGAAGGAACCAGGTTCATGGCCCATGTGTTCCTCCCTCCTGTCACTTCTGGAGTGAAAGCCAAGCTTAGGAAAGGTGCTTTTGAAGGGGTCAGTGCTGCCCGCCCCTTGCTTCCTGGGGACACATTGCTGGGAAGTCCTGCCAACTTGTCATCGGCAGGGAGGCAAGCCCGGGCCCGGGGGCTCTCCTTGGAAGGGCTGCAGTGGACTTTCATCCTGGCCCTGGGCTCCGTGGTGTTCTGGGAGTTGCTGACCTCCTCTCTGGAGCAGGTGGCTGATGACAGCATTTATGAATACCTGGACTTCGTAGATGCCACTGACCGCTACAGAAGCCTGTGGATGTGGCGGTTGCTGGGCACGGCGGTGGGCGTGTGTGCCATTGCAGCCGTGGCGGAGCAGCTGGACTGCTTCCTGATGGCCAGTGGCCCCCGGGGTGTGGTGCACTTCTACGGCTACTCACTGGTCAGCACCCTGGCCTTACTGGTGAGCATTGTCTTTCCTGTGCCCGTCTGCCAGCGGCAGGAGCCCAGCTATAGAACCGTCAAAGCACTGTCTCTGGTCTGGGGTGAGCCCCGCCTCATCCTCCTGGCCTTCACCGTATTTCTGATAGGCGCTGTCGCCAGCACCGTGCAGAACTTTCTGTTCTGGCACATGAAGGATCATGGGAGCAGCGAACTGGTCATGGGGTTCTCGGTGGCGCTCAGCCTGCTGGGGGAAATCCTGCTTCACCCGCTCAGAGCTCCGCTGCTGCGGAGACTGTCCCGGGCTGGCACGCTGGGGCTGGGGCTGGGCGGCCTGGCGGGGCAGCTGCTCTATTACTCCTTCCTCTGGAGCTGGTGGTCGGTCCTTCCCGCTCAGACCTTGAGTGCCATTAGCAATGGGGCTGTATGGTGGGCAGTGGGGGCCTGGATAGGCGACCTGGCCACGCCCAGCACAGAGAGGCCCCTGAGTGCCATGTTCAGAGGCCACTTTTATGGCGGCGGCTGTAGCCTGGGCAGCTTTGTGGGGGGCTTTGCACTGATGCGCTTCAGTCTGGCCACCCTCTACCAGGCCTGCTGCGTGGTCCTGCTGCTCTGGCTGGCCTTGTTCCTGGCCATCCAGCCCAGGCTGCCCCAGGAGCGCAAGATCAACTACTCCAGGCTGCTGATTGTGGAAGCTAGCGACACCAGCGACTCCGAGCAGGGGACCGAACGGGACTGGCTTGTGACGGCCATGAGGGAGGAGCACACAAACTGGAAGGGCTGAGAGTCGTAGTATGCTGATGTGGGAAGGCCACTAGTAGGTGGGACAGATCAGTCTGCTGAGGACACCATCCTGCCTGGGACTGCAACTGCAGGGAGCCTTGGGAGAAAGATGGTATGTCTCTACCAAGGACCCAATAGGATCACCTCATTGCATGATTTTCTTCCCTTTTGTAATAAAAGAAGATTTAACTTTTTGCCATTCAATCTTTTTTAAATAATGGAGAAAAATATGTTTACTAAAAAAAAACAAAACCAAAAAAACATGTTTCCTTTGTTTTTTTTATTTGCTTGTGTGTTTTGTCTTTTATTGTTTTAGTTTTGCTATAGGTCACGTGCACTCACCAGTGAGAGAGAGAATGAGAAATCACCCTCTATGGGGGATGCCCACCTTGTAATCCTTTCTCCTCCATTCTCCCCTTGGGACTTTGGGCATGCATGTTCACATGTCCAGCGTGTTTTTCAAGTCGCCTAGTCCCAGGACTTGAACCTACAGTCAGTTATGAGGGATTCAGCTTCAACTTCTATGCCATCTGCTGGCACCAAACACATTCCCTTTGTATTCTCTGTATGATGTACTACTAACAGGTGAAGATCCATTTAGCAGTGGCTGAAGTGATCACCTCAAATTGGCAGCACCGGGAAGGCAGTGAAGACCTGCAGGATTCAGTGGGCAGAGAAAGTGGCTGCCTGGCTGAGTCGGGGCCAGTCCCATGGCTCACAAAAGCCTTCACCTGTCCTATAAAAGTCGTGCCGTGGGCAGGTAAGAATGGTGCTGGGAACTGAAGTCCTCCCTCTGCCCATTGATATACAAGCACCCTTGCTCACTCCCAAGTTTTAAGTTTCCAATAAGAGAAAACAATGGACTATGTACTGTGTGCTGGGAGGGAGTGGTGGTCTCATTCTTACTCTCAAATGTGTGTTCACCAGGAAAATAATACTTAGGATCATCTTCTATATTTACATCAGAACAAGAACATTTTCATGTCCTTTAGACTCAGCATTCCCAACCCTTGGACCACAGTCAGCTCCCATTCTGTAATCCCTGGGGAATTAGGCTGCACAGCAAGAGGTGAGCTTCGGGTGAGCAAATGAAGCTTCATCTGTATTTACAGCCGCTCCCCGTTGCTGACATAGCCGCCTGAGATCCACAGCTCCGCCTCCTGTCCAATCAGCGATGGCATTAGAGTCTCATAGGAGCTGGAATCCTATCGTGAACTGCACGCACAGGGGGAACTGGGTTGTGTGCGCTCGTAAACCGTTCTCCTCACCTCCATCCATGGAAAAATTGTCTTCTATGAACCTGGTCCCTGGTGCCAAAAGGATTGGGGACCACTGCCTTAGACTCACATTTTGTTCTCTCAGCCTGACAGGATCACATGGAGATTTTAGCTCTGCTTTGATTAGGGTGTGGTGGTCTCCACTGGGTAGGTGCTACAGACACTGCACATCGGCCCTGTGCCCGGCCACCAGATGGGGTGTCAGAGTGGCAAACCAATGCTGTTGCCTTCCCAAGGCCTCCAGAACCTTCCTCGGTCTGAAGAAAGGGCCCTTTATTCCAGAGGTTAGTCTCTAAGAGCCTAATTATTCTACCTTTCAGTCAGATAAACAGAATATTGGATTTATTGGGTCACCAGAAAAGTCATGACATAGTTTTTTCAGTGCGAAAATGCATCATGACTTTTCCAATGACCCAATTATGCAAATGTAGAAAATGTCTCAAAGCCAGAGAAGGGGAACAAATATATGAACGTTCACTGGATCAGGCATGGTTCTACAATCTTTGTTCTTTTTAAGTTCTCCTTGGGAAGCTCTAGGACACACATAACAAAAATAAACAAATAAATAACCTCCACCCTGAGCAATTGGAAATTTAATTGTCTTACATAAGGTATCTAGGGGTAGGCAGTCCAGAGCTAGAAGAGCTGCTGAATGATGCCACGGGGACCTAGAATCTAATCTCTTCACATCGTCATAGGCAGTTTGTAAGCCTCCCTCCCATATTTATTCTCTCATAATAACAAAATGGCTGCTGCACCTCCAGACCTTTCATCCACGTTCCAGGCAGGAAGAAGAAAGAAAGACAACAAGGCAAAGGGGGAAACAGGAAAGATGCCTATATCAGGAAAGCAAGTCTTCCCAGCACTCCTCTGCTGACTGAAATGAAGTGGGTCCATGGCCACCTCTAACTGCAAAGGAGTCTGGGAAGTGGAGTGTTTTCACATGGGCATAGTTACAACCCAAGCAAAATCAGGGCTGGGTTAGGAAAACCAGGGCTCGCTGTTGGATCATTAGCTAGCAACATCTGCTGCATCGTCGTGGATCTCACACCTGTGTCCATCTCACGCCAGGCAGAGTCTGTGCTCCTTTCAGCCCAGGACGCCAGCTTCTCCCACAGAAATGACTTCAGCAACTTGAGCCCCCCTACGACCCCCAATGACCCTACAGAGAAATCAAGTTTATTATCTGCATTTTACAAATAATAAAGAGGAATCTCAGAAAAGCCCCACATTGGGTCACTGGCAGAAACACCACCAGAGTCCTGATTCCTTGCCCCAAATGTAAAGCCTTTTCTTCTATGCTGGTAGCTCTCAACCCTGGCTGTCTGGGCAAATCTAAGGCGCATATACCAAATTAGGCAGGGTCTCAGGTCCATCAATCTCTCAGATAAGACCCGGAAAAATGCTGTGTGTGTGTGTGTTTAATTGCCGGAGTGTGAAAGTGCTCACCTGAGAGAGAGAGAAGGAAAAGGAGAAAGCTCCTCCTTCGTATGGTGTGGTCATACTGCAATCCATTCTCCACTTTTCCATCCTGTTGGGATTTAAGACATGCACACACACAGGCCTGGTGTGTCTTTCAAGCTATATGGGATGTGTTTTGGTAATTAAGTTAATATTTGACTACTTCTCATTTGTAAAGAATTGCACTACTTACCATGGGGGATTCAAAGAGGAATAAAATGCATAGCCTCTGCTCTCAAGAAGCGAATGGTCTAATTAGAAGATTTATTTATATCCATATACACATACACAAGGAAGCACAGGACAGTGAAAAATGCCACACTCACACAAGTTGTGACTTTTACTCTTATTAATTGCTGAAGCCAGTAGGTCAAGTTAAGCTTTGGTAAATCAAAAGGAAACGAAATTCTCAGCTCTCAGCCTGTGGCTATCAGAGAGACTGAGTCTGCCGTTCTGACATTTCTCGGTTCCAACCAGGAAAGTAAATATTGAACAAGTCATTAACTGTTATCGCTCGGGTTACTGAGACCATTATTTCCCAAGTGAGTTTTGTAGAACACTTTATCCTAGTGGGGTAGAGGGTTAGGGAAAGCATTAAAAAGGGATTCTGTGGCCAAATAAATCTGGTAAATGACGCAAATGGGGACCAGCAGGTAATGTGATGGTTAGGGTGCTAGATTCCCACGTGGCTGACCATGGTTTGAGTCCTGGACCTGGCAGTTGGAAAATCACACCAGGCACGTGTGCACGTGTGCCCAAAACCTCAGGAAAAGAATGGAAGAGAAGGGACTGTGGCATGGCCATTCCCTCTAGGCGGTGATTTCTCACTTTCCCTCTCTCTGTCCCTCTCCAGTGATCATGCACGCCCCACGGCGAAAACCTCAAACAAAAAATGTAAATGACTTCCACCTCTTAGAAACTTGCAATGTCTGTTAGCGAGTGAAGACTCTCAAAAACCCTGTAGTCAAGTTAACTGGATCAGCTCTGTCAGCGGTGGCAGCATGAAAGGGATGAGACACTACGTTTGCACGCGGATTTCATATGAACCTTTGTGCAAGACAACGTCAGAGAGATGCCCTACATGTGAATGTCCTACATGGCCGCCTTACAGAAATGGAACTCACACTTTGTGGAGAGCAGCCAGTATGAAAACATGTGATTAAAACATGCGGCCTGGAGATACATGCAGATATGCACGTTTGTAAGTTATTTTAGCAGGGCTATTGTGAAGCATTTACATATCAAAGTAGTATTTGCCTGTCGTTAATGGTTGTCTTTTTGTTGTTAATAATCAATACCTCGGTACTGCCTAGTATTGGGCTAAAGGAAGTTACATGCGTTTATCAAATTGTCCCCCAAAAAAGATCAGAGAAATTATCTGGCGCCAGTCATTTTCACGTCTTCAGACCATTTACATCCAGAAACAACTGGCTTTGCATCCCAATTTCTCCTCCTCATTCTCTTTGCATTCCACTTCCTTCTTCCCCATTCCTTTTGCATCCCATCTCCCCCTTCCCCCATTTTCTGCCCTTTAAAAGAATAAACCTGAGGCTGGTTCTGGCCGCAACTTCTCCATCAGAGAAGCTGTGCCCACCCGATCCTCGCTTTTCTATACTTGTGTGTCTTCGTGTGTTTGTTATTGCGTCTATTTCTAATCCACAGCCTTCCCCACTCAGAGAAACGTGTTCATGCCGAGACTGTCCTGGCAACACTTTGAACTTTGCTTCCATTCTCTTTGTCTGTCACCAGCATGCCATAAAGCTCATAATTCTCACAACACTAATATTCAGTTTACAGCAGGGGAAACAGGCTCAGAGAGCTTAGCTGACATAGTGACCAAAGGTCAGGACTGTTCGATGTAGAGCCTTGACTTGAAGCCAGGTCTGACCCACAGATGCCAAAGCTCTTTCTCTGAAGGCAACACTGTGTCTAAAAGTGAAGACGTTCAGCCATTGAACAGGAGCCGCAAGCATTTGACTCTCTTTCCTGCTGGATTGTGAATGATGAGTCTGCGTTGGGGGAGAGCCGGGGGGCTAAGACATCTGTTTTGGACAGATTACTGCAATTGTCCAGGTGGGAAGAGGGTGCATCCCAAAAGAGCGTGAAGATTGAATGACAACACGATGTATGCAAGGGGGGTTCAGAGGTAGAACTGATAATACCGCCTTTGGTTATTGATTGGCTAATGAGGTGGTGAATTAAGAAAAATAGAGGTGTTAAGGATTATGGGTGATTTTGCAGTTTTGAACCATGGGACGAGGGAGAACATCTGCAAGACCAGCAGAGCCCGGGAACCCATGAAACTATCCGTGCAGAAGCTGAAACTTACACACAGATGATAAGAATTGTAGACGACACAGCAGAAACTCCTCAGCCTCCTGGCTTCCTTATAATCACTGACTGTCACTGAGACCAGAGGCATCACCATTTGTGATACTTGTGTTATGGGGCAAAGAAAGCATTCCTAATATCCAGAGGC